ACAAAAGCACTCTTCCCGTCCACATACTTGTCAACTTTTCGGAGCGCCAACCTGTATAAACTACCAAAAAAATCCTTATAAAGAGCAAAAAATCCTTATAACATACCAAAGCATTTTATATGTCAAAATAACGGCAGAAAAAAAAACCCACGAAATTTTCAATGATATTTATTGTAGATCTCCATAATACAATGTCTGGTTAATGTATAATCATCATTCTACTTAGTGGCAATCCTGGAAAGTTACCGGAAATGAAAGCATTCGAGTAGACTAGCACCATTCTGGGCAAAAGCAAACGGAACTACCTGTTAGGGGGGAAAAAAAACCCGGAAATTTTCAGAATCCGTATGATTTGTGCGACACGGCCATATACGTAAGATTCACCACAAAATCCGTATGAACTATGGCTAAACTGTATGAGTTGACAGGTATGGGCTCGGAGAGTTGCCAAAATGAGGTTAGCATTGGGTTAGGTGCCACCTGGATGATTCCCTGGTGTTTTGGGCACACCTCGTTGAAAGAAGACCCTGGGGAAATATACAAGAGGGTATATGCCTACCGGCAGGCCTGGGAGCTTCTGGGGATCCCGCTGTCATAAATTAATGTGCAGAGAGAAGTCTCGCATTCGCTGCTATGGCTGCTGCCTATGCAAACTGACCCCTGGATAAACGGAAGAATAAGGATGAAAGGACACAGAGATTTTTTTCTCTATTGGACTACTTAAGTGTGGTGCTTGGTGACATAATTACCTTCATGGAACTTAGACTTGAGGGGTGTGTTCGTGGCAGGATTGTGTTGTGCGACGGACTTCCGGTAAACTTCATGTTTTCACGGAACGTTTGGTCTAAGGCGACGCCCCTCCAGCGTCGCAATTCTTTTGACACTACACACGTAAAAATTGTCAATATATTTTACAAAATGGATAGTTACACCACTTTTGTGGCTAATACAGCGTCAACGAAACGGTTTATATGGCAAGCATTTTGCTGGCAATTCGAGGCTCTTGTCCCTCTGCGGATTCCGTCTCGGTAGTTGGTGACGTAGGGGTCGTGGTCCGCCATATTGTCTCTGATACAGCAGAAATCTCATATCAGAACAGGCGTACCGGCGACGGTTCGAAATTTGGCCGTTGGGACTGACACCCGATTTTCTGGGGAAGCGTTTCGTTCGTCTCATTGATCACGGGGGTAAATATACACAGTGACTCTGCTGATGATATAAACCATTCAAGAATGGACGATAAAACAAATGAGCTTTGCCATTTGCTTAGGATTGGACGTTATCGTCAAGGGTCCGCCCAACATCCTCTTAGCAGTCAAAACCCAGTCTACTACGCCAACCATCTGTCAGGCCAATGTGTTTTCTTATCCTGCACTACTCAAAACAAATGGTCAACATGCATGTGTAACATTATTTGAAAACCAACTTGTATTCAAATGTGAGTTTCAATCCATTTAATTGCGTGTGCCTCACCAAACAGCAGACATCTAACGACTAAAACTAAACACAAACCGAGTAAGTGATACGCCTGATTTTCTTATTATATATATTTAGCTGTTCTGATTGTTTGACTGACTGCATGATATACTCAGCGGGTATTGGCTGATGACTAATGCTGGACAGACAGCATATTATGGGTTATTTTGGGTTCGTACTTTTGTCGTTTTTGAGAAGCTGTAAAAGGAATTGGTTCCGTAGTAATGTTTCTTAATTCCGACGAATACGTGCCATGTTTATCTCGAGTCAAGCAGTGTAACTGGATGTTGTTGATTACGACACAGTGCCGCCAACGGTAGACTTGGTTTCCTATGATTTGATAGGTCGAGAGAAGACATTTGAATGACATGAGAAATCTCTTCATTAATTACTTCAGTTGGACTCTGTTCACCTTTGTTTTGTTTGTGTTAACCAATTGTTATTAGTGAGTAAATAAAATAAACAAACAACAATACCCATTTGAAGCAGCATGAGCTGGTGGACCATGAGTGATTATGCTTAACTGCATATGAATCTGCAGTAGTTAGTCGTATCCTGATTGAGTAGTGGAGTAGATCAGAACCCATTCAGTAGTGGTCGTATTTTAAACCCCAATTTCCTGTTGAAATGTGCAATAGTTTGACTTTTTTTGTTTGTTTCTAAGTGCAAACTATTAGTATCATAAAGCCTTTACGAACATTATTAACAGTTATAACAGTACAAAAACTTGACCTGTCTGTATTCTGTGTTAATACCAAGCATGTGCTTATCTACATTTACTGTTACACAAATATAAAATGTACTAGATCTGCAAGCCGCTATACAGGACCCTAGCAACCCTGGTCACGTTGGGGTTGTGGCACATTGGGGTTACTGGCATATCGGAAAATAATGATTTAACATCTTTAGATGAGACACACAAACTCTTCAAGGCAATCGAATCAAATCTAGGAGTATTTTGTTCAAATCGGACATCTGTAATTGGTCAAAAAAATATAAGGTCAAAAATGGGGAAAAATTTGAAGGCAAATTTAAAATGTTGGACTTCCTGTTTGGTGTAGCATAGAGCTACAAAGTCTTGGGTTGTTAGAAAGGCCTCTCAATTTTAGTTGATCTAGGTCAAACGTACTATTGAGTATGCTTCGTGACATTTTTTTACTTGTCAAACAACGCATCTCCATTACAATAGCGTGCAGCGACATGAAAAGCTTTGAACAACTTTTCATCATGAACATCTGTAGATGAAACACAAAATTTGAAGACGATTGGATAGACTGTCTTGGAGGAGTTCATTAAAATATGAGTTCTGTCAAGGCCAAAACCTCACCAAATTCAAAAGTGAATTCAAAATGGCTGACTTCTGTGGGCACCAGGTAGCCCTCAAGGACCACATGAGTAGCCCGTGGCCTGTTCCAAAAACAGCTCACCAACTATGGGACACAGTTTTTTTTTCATCTAGGAATGTTCTACAAGTGTTTTTTTTTTTTTTTTTTTTAATTTAAACAGGCAGAGATTTATAGAAAATTATTGTGAGTTATCATGAACATGAGCATTGTCTTCACATAAGTCAATACCATTAATCATTAATCAAACATATAATAACATATGATCAAAGGTAATTTGAGCGCATTTGTTATTTCAAACATATGTACTGTATCAAACTGAGAGCCATTTGCACTAATCATTAGCCAAGAAGTAACTGTCTATTTCAAAAACTTTTTGTTTGTGACCCCTGGTTTTGGGTCTGGCGCCAAAATACTTTTTTTGTAGGTCTTAGGCTGTTGTATATGTCTCCCTATTTTCGTAGATCTTGGCCAGACATGTCCAGCTCCGGGCCTGGAGGGCCACTGTCGTGCCTGTTTTCCAGCTCTCCCGCCTGCAACACACCTGATTCGGATGATCAGCTCATCAGCCAGCTCTGAAGCAGCATTAGAACAACCCTGATGATTTGAATCAGGTGTGTTGCTCCTGAGAGAGCTGGAAAACAGGTAGGACAGCGGCCCTTGAGGACCGACTTTGGACACCCCTCATCTAGGCGGAATGTACAACCTGGGGTGATTCGTTAAAACATTTTAGGGGGCGCTACGGAGCCATTTTTAAGAAAACACACAATAACCCTCTAAAATATGAATGTTTTGGCCAGGCCTGACGTATGTGCAAGGTTTTCACTCAGGTTCAGACCCTCAAAAACAGAATAATTTTTTCTTTGCAAACAGTGCATCGTCACAGCAACAGCATGCGATGAAATAAAAAGCTTTCAAAAACTTTTCACAAACATCTTAGCAAATTGGAGGTAGATATGTATGGTTAAGACGCTAGGTAGAAAACAACAAATACGTTATTTTACAGTATTTCCTCTTGTCACTCGGTGGCCGTACTGCTTCGATGAAAAAGAGGTTTGTAGAAGTCTTCAGGCCTGGACTCTTATCTAATTTATGACATTTTGAGAAGATAATCCAAGTCAATGTAGGGCAGCTTTTGATGTCACAGCAAATGATCAGAATTTGAGGCGCTGAAAAGTTCACAATATTGGCTATAAAGCATGATCAATGCTTTTCTGACATCATTTCAGTTGGATCCAGTCAACATGCTCAGCGCATTAAAATGTCAAAGATGACATTTCTCGTCACACTCGATGGCACGATATGCATACGAAAATACAGGGTGTTCCAAAAGTCTTGGGCATATTTTGACATTGAATAACTCGGAAACTATTCAGGATATAAAAACACATCTGGTAAATTCAGAAAGCTTGTAATCTCAATTTTTACATGGAATGATCAAAGATGTTCAATGTGAGCACCATTGGTCACACGACACACATCAAGCCGATAGTCAAAACACGTCCTAGCATTGCATTGTCAATGGTTGCAACAGCTTCTGTTATCCGTAATAAGCACCCATCCATTATGAATTTACCATGCCATCTCACTACAGTATAGACTTCCTCTCTGGTGTCTCCTTTCCGAATTTTCTGCGAAATGCACGTTGAACAACAGTCCATGATTCAGTTTTTGCAAATTCAAGCACACAAAACGCCTTTTCTGGTTGATTGAACGCCATTCATGGGTCTGAAAAGAAATAAAAAAATCAATAGCCTTACGAAAAACTTAATGTAATTAGCTTTAAAATGGCACGACTTTTATCCTATTACCATTCATAGTCAAGGAGATATGGGGACTTCAAATGTGCCCAAGACTTTTGGAACACCCTGTATTTTCATCCCAAGACTCATACACATTAAGTGTGGGATTTTTTTCGAGCATGTACAGGGGAGTTAAGCATTTCCTGTTTTTGATGCCCTGTCCTATAGTGCAGTGGTTCTCAAATGGGGTTATGGGTACCCCCCCCCCCCCGGGGTACATGAAGCCACTTCAGAGGGTACATGATATTTTTAACCTAAATACAAAAAGTAGCACCAATGCCAAGAAAAGCACCAAGTGTCTCACTCGTTTCAATGGTGTACACAGGTGGACCCATGCATATTCAGAGTTCAACGGTCATAAGATCGTGGAATCTCCCACTTGCTTGTGTAGTTTTTACCTCATCACTCGGCTATTCATTTCATTCACACCTGATCCCTCAATTATTCATGTTTTTTTCTGCTGAGTATTTTTTCATGGCAATTATAAAAGAGTGTCAATAATGCATTTCCACTATTTGCAGTCTGACTCTGCACTTATCCCCCCTGCAAATCGCAGTGTTCCAATGTGTCTTAAAGCAGAGGTCCCCAACCGCCAGTCCGTGGGTCATTTGGTACCGGGCTGCACAGAAAGAACTTATATTAATTCCGTTTTATTGATTTCGGAATACGAAAGATGTTTTATTTTCAAAAATTACCAGATTCTCCATTACATCCGTCTGTGTCACTCTTGACACACGTCATGCCACGCTTCTCCATCACGTGACCGATTACTTCAAAACAAAACGCAGGCACTCGCAAAATGAGTAAAAAAACTGCTAGAGATCGCAAATGACGGCGACCTTAAAAGTATGTTCGAGACAACAACTCTGCCGGTGTTCTGGATTAAAGTTATGGCTGAATACTCTGAGATCGCCACAATAGCACTGTTGCTATTTCCGACACCCTACCTGTGTGAAGCAGGGTTTTTCTACAGCAACGGCGACTAAAACAAAATTACGAAGTAGACTGGACATAAACCACACACTTCAGGTGTCATTTTCTCCTATTACACCGAGATGGGACTGCCTGGTTGCAGAAAATCAAGCTCGGGGCTCGCACTGATTTAGCATTGTGGTGAATGGTCATTTTCATGCACTTTGAATTTGCATTGTATCGTATTTTGATTCAACATTACCATAGCGATCAGATTAGACACTCCTCGTGTTTATTATTATCTTCCGAAAACACCACGGTTTGCATGCAGCTCATACCATATATTTTTTAAATTTATCCGCCACACCTTAAATGCCGGTCCCTGAAAATATTGTCTGACATAAACCGGTCCGTGGGGCAAAAAAGGTTGGGGAGCCCTGTCTTAAAGCTTATAGTAGGACATGATGTGCATTTCACAGGGTGTCCATAAAGTATCTTTACAATCTATAGAAGTCATTACAAAGGCAGTTGAAAAGACAACCATTTTTTTTTTTTTGTAATCAATGTTCATTTAGATTTGTAAAAATCACATTGAAAGATGGTGCATCACCACATTGAGGAAGTCTTTGTCAACCACTCATTACATTGAAATAAATCTAGTTATGATATCAACTGCCTTTCTAATAGTCTTAAAATTGAAAAGAGGATTTGTGAACATCTTGTGTATTGCTATGAGGCACCATCACATATGCACAAATCAATTCACAGATCTCTGAAGTAACAAAGGGCTAACATTCCAGTTTTATGTTGGATGGTGTGATACGCATGCCACAGCCATTGCTTACTCATTCGTTGCGCCACACTGACTGTCAGGCAGCAAGGAGCTTTACATTATTTAACAAGAACATATTGAGATGTATTGGTCAATACTGAATTGTTAACATCTGTGTCACGATGCATCAAATTCTTCTTCCACCCCTAGAATTGAGAGTGAGCAAAAAGCTAATCCATAATTGAAATTTGTACATACATCTTTATATTATTTGTGAGAGTAAGGTATGTTAAGTAACAATTGTAAATAGCACAGCCACCTTATACCAGTTGCATATATGCTTATATACTGTGTGTGTGTGTGTGTGTGTGTGTGTGTGTGTGTGTGTGTGCGCGCATATATATATATTGAACTGTGTACAGCGCTCTTCTGAAACATTTATTTTGTGCATGCAAACACTTTGTTTTTTTCTTCTTTCCACCCCCAAATTTTGCTGCTGTAGACTGTAAATTTCCCCATTGTGGGACAATAAAGGACATCTTAATCTTAATATTGATATGGATTGTAGCTCACAATGATTTAATTGCTCATATTTCATTCATTTTCTTCTATTTTTTTAAAGCAACAACCACGTGCCCCTGGTGCCCCTCCCTTGTCCTCAAAGAACCCCCCCCCACCCCCATCCCCAACTCCCCATACCCTCACCCCCTTTGAATCAAAACCCTCACCCCGAACCTTTCCTTCTACCCCTCCCTTCCTGAGCCCTCTGCTGCAGAGAGAGCTCACCACCCACTCTTCCAAGCTGTCGGACATGTCGGGACCTGTGCCGAGCCGGGCCAGGGTGTACAATGAGGTCAACACTCACCGACCGAGGGAGTACTGGGACTATGAATCCCATGTCGTGGAATGGGGGTAAAATGCTTGTTGCCTGTTTCATGCCATTTTCACCAGATTGGTGCCAGAATTTCCAACCTGAATAATGCATTCACAGTAACCAAGATGACTTTCAGCTTGTGCGAAAGCTAGGGCGTGGCAAATACAGTGAAGTCTTTGAGGCCATCAACATCACCAATAATGAAAAGATTGTAGTCAAGATCCTCAAGGTAAATAAATCCATAAAATGATGATGCCCTAGTTGCTGCAATCATTTTAGCTATATTTTCAGTCCACAAACATGAACGACATTTCTGTCTCATCAGCCTGTGAAGAAAAAGAAAATAAAACGTGAGATTAAGATTTTGGAGAATCTACGAGGAGGACCAAATATCATCTCCCTTATAGACATCGTGAAAGACCCTGTGGTAAGTATGCAATTATATGTAATTGACATACTGCACAGTCATGGTCAAATCAATTAGAGGTGTATTTCTTTGTCACCATTTTTACTAGCATAGTAATGCTGTCACTTGTGAAAGATCATCAATTACATTTGCACTGCTTCTGTTCTTGTCTTGCTCTGGCTTTAAGTGAATTACCGTATTTTCCGCATTACAAGTCACAATTTTTTTTTTTTATGGTTTGGCCGTGGGTTCAATTTATACTATGGAGTGACTTATGTGTGAAATGATTAACACATCATTTCACGTTATTTTCACATTAAACCGCAAGAAGGTGCTCTCGGCCTGTGTTGATACTTTCCACATTGGCGGTAACTGATAAAAACAACTGAAGATGACTAACGTAAGCGACGTAGAAGAGGAAGCGCTGCATTTTCTACCTCCGAAGTTGTTTAAAAGTGACACAGGATGAAGATTTTTAGTGATTTGGGGTGACACTGATGGTTTGGTGAACTTGTTAGCGTGTTCTTGATGCTATCGTAAACTCAATAACTCTTTAATATGTTACATGAACATCCCAGGCACGTTCTAAGTTCGTTGTTGATGCGTCATGTAACGATAGCATATCGTACACTTATTCAGCGTGTTGTTCTCTATTTTTATTTTTATTTGCCTTTCAAGATGACATGTCTTTTCTTGGTGTTGGATTTTATCAAATAGAGTGAAATAGATCAAAAATCTGATTTATATTCCAATGCGACTTATCTATGTTTTTTTTCTTCTTTATTATGCATTTTATGGCTGGTGCGACTTATAGTCCGGAAAATACAGTAGTTGTAGATTTCTTTTAAAGGAACGATGCAGTTATTTACCATTTCAAATTTCAATCTTCAAAGTTTCCAAGCCTCTGCCATTCATTGCTCAAAACACACATTGAATATAGAATTACAGTGCACTTAACATCTGCCTAGGACAAACTATTTGAAATCACTAGGTTTTGGGGGCAGTTTTGTCTCGTGCAAGGAGCCACTGCTTACCTCACCCATCTTTACAATGGGGAGTATGTATAGACAAGGGCTGCGAAGATTAGTCGTCTAGGCAAGGCAAGTTTTATTCACATCACATTTCATACACAAGATACCTGAATGTGCTTCACATAAGCAAAGACAATACCTACAGGCATTTACAAACACAACAGTTAACATCTAGAAAGAAGCAAAGGAGACAAAACAAAAGTAGCTCCAAAAATTACTAGAATGTACGTTGACAACATTTAAACAGAAAACCTTTTAAAAAACATTTAAATGTAAAGAATTAAAAGTGGGTTTCTAACATGTTTAAAAGATGTTTCTTTAATTGTATAGAGGACATTAATCAAAGTTATGGGGAAAAAAAACAAAGTTTTTAACCTGGATTTCAAAGTATGTCCACTCAGGGCAGACTTAACTTCTCAGTTTATTCCATTTGTGTGCAGCATAATGGCTAAATGCAGCTTCACCATGATTACTTTAAACTCTGGGCTCCACTAATTGACCCAAGTCTCCACATCTCAGAGCCCTACAGGGGTTTATATTCAATTAGCATTTCGTTAACGTATTCAGGACCCACACCATTCAGTGATATGTCGACCAGTTGCAGAATTTTAAAATCTATTCTACTGCTAATTGGGAGCCAGTGTAAATCTTTTAGGACTGGTTTAATATGTTCTCATCCCATTGTTGTGGTCAGAACCCAAGCTGCAGCATACTGAATGAGCTGCAGCCGTATGATGGTCTTTTGAGGGAGGCCAGTACGGAGACCGTTACAATCATCAAATCTGCTGGGGATTAAAACATGAACACGGAGAACTTTCTTGGCGCATGCATAACAACATAAATTACCAAAATAAAGCAGCTCCATAACTGTAGAAACAGAAAACAAATTTACAGCTCTCTCTCTCTCTCTCTTTCTCTCTCTCTTTCTCTCTATTTCTCTCTCTCTCTCTCTCTCTCTCTCTCTCTCTCTCTCTCTCTCTCTCTCTTGCTTCTGATTGGTCAGCTTGGTGGAAGAGGAGGGAGCTGGCCATTATGTGTGAGACAGATGATACAACAAATTCTGGGTTAGTCAGGAGCGCTGCAAAAACACAAAGCTTTGGTGATCACGTCATCGTGTTGCCTGGGATCACGATTTCGATTACAGAAAAAAACTATTAATAAATCATTCTGCCCTGCATCACAACGTACATGTAGCCAACTTGTATTAGTAAATGTTATTCATCCACACCAATTGTTTACTGTTACATTTCAATGTCAGTTTAAATTTGTTCAACCCTTTATTCCGAATCTGTTGTTATAAATGCATTATTCTTTTTTTTCAGTCTCGTACACCTGCTTTGGTCTTTGAACATGTTAACAACACTGACTTTAAGGTGAGAATTTTTTTTTTTAATTCCACTGGTCAACAGCAAATTTTAATCATCGATGGTTGTTTGTGTACGTATTTCTGACTGATTTGAAACATTGCTTTACTTTTTTTCTCGCACGTCAGGTTTTTGAGAGGTTTTTAAATTTGACCTATAAAAACCTGCGCAGTACGGATTTTACCATGCATTATAATTTTTTTAGCTATGATGTTTCAGAAAAAAAAAATCTACCTGTTGCTGAACCTAAGCCTTCGTAAATATTACTAAATATATTACTGTAATTGTAACGGGGTTCTAGATGTTCCTTCGTAATAAATATGGCATATCCGAACTATGTAAAAACATTTTCCCTCCGATTAATGAATATAAAAAGTCAAAATGTAAAAGGGTGCTGTTTTTCTCAGTAACAAGTACTGATTGAGGATGTACCCCTCCCTTGTAGCCAATTAATTCAAAAAATAACTTTAATTCACCAAAACCATATTTTAACGATCAACTGCAATAATAATGAATATAGAAAATTACAAGCGTTCAACCAGCCATTTCCCCTGTGGCCTTACACTGCTCTGGAATAATAAAATCATTTTACTGCAAAACACAGTATTTTGACATGACGTCCTGATGACTTCATACGCTGGCGTCCCGTGCATAATGTAGCAAAATCCGCAAAAGCGGAGATCGGTCTGACAGTGGAGACTTGTGAATGGTGGGCGGCACACAGAAAAGTTTGTGGAACATGAGGACTATTGCATGGAAGATAGTTTGACAATGGTCGAGTGAGCACCCAAAATCACTGCAGTGGATGACCAATGAAAAATATGCGTAGAAATTGATTGGACGGACAGGGACTAGGTTATGGAAAAACAGGTGAATGGTGAATGTGGAAGAATATGAGCGCAGGTTTAAATTGGTGGCAGCAGCCTCCCTGCAGCATCTGATGGAGCAAATCTATCACAATAATACCTATTATTATCATCGTTATCTTTTTTTTTTTTTTTAACCGGATATGCTTCAGAAAAAAAAAGCGATTCAGAATCATTTCGAAAAGTTTACTTGCATCTCTAATTAAAAAAAAAAAAAAAATAGTTAGCTGTTGTTATTCTTAACTACTAATTACCGTATTTTTACGACCATTCGGCGCACTGTATTGTCGGGCGCAGTCTCACTAACGGGTGCTATTTTGGTATTTTACACATAGACAAAACGCACTGTATTATTGGGCGCAGTTTTACAGTGGTAAAACATACGCCAGCTTAAACATACGGCATGCGTGCACGCACGCTAAAAACACGTTAGCTTGAAGCATACGGTAGCATGCTAAGACATACGCATACACGCTAAAAACACGTTTTTAAAAAGGCAATGGAAGCAAAACTGAGTTTGGTTGCATTTTATTTAGCCAGCTTACAATGTACTCACGTTTTTTGATCAATCAAAAAACGTGAGTACACAGTCGAACAAACGTGAGTAGTACACTGTCGAATGGTGACTGTGGAGACGCTTCTGCCGGCTGCTCTTTGATCAACAGTCCACCGCTCCAGTTGGTCTTCCAACTCGGGCCACCTCGCCTTCTGTCCACGGAAACTCAGCTTCGTCTTTTTGACTTGGCGAAGCTCGTTCTCCTGCTTCCTCCATTTGCGAGCCATGGATTCGTTGACTTGAAATTCTCTCGCGGCTGCTCGATTCCCATGTTTCTCCGCATAACCGATGGCTCTCTCTCTCTCTCTCTCTCTCTCTCTCTCTATTTATATTATATATACACGCCCACCCTTCACTGATTGGCCGACTTCTTCACCGCATGCCTGTCCTCATTCACTTCCTCCTTTTCTCTATATAAACAACGTGTCGGCTCTCTGTCAGGTTTTGGTACTCAGCGCATACACAAGACGCTCTGCATTATAAGGCGTGCTGTTCACTTTGGATAAAATTTTACACTTTTAATGGCGCCTTATAGGTGTGAAAATACGGTATTCTTAAATTCTACAATTTTATTTGACACTTTTACTTCTTTGGTTTTGGTATACATGCAAGTATGTTTGTATGTACGCAGGTGGACAGAATTGTTAGTAACCCCATGTTGATGAAAGAAAAACGCACAGTGGTCACAGAAATAACTTGAATCAGAAAAAAGTAATAAAAATATGAAAATGAAACACTGAAAATGAATTGAGATTAAATAGAATTATTAGGACATATGTAATTAAATAAATCAAGTAAAACTTGTGAAACGGGCCTGGATAAAAATGATACCCATGAAAAAAATTTATAACAATTTGGTAATAAGGTCATGTTGAACCAAGGTGTGTCCTCTAATTCAGGGGTCCCCAACCGCCGGTCCGCGGTCCGCCGGGCATTTGGTACCAGGCCGCACAGAAAGAACTTGCCTTAATTCCGTTTTATTTCGGAATACGAAAGATGTTTTATTTTGAAAAACTACTGGATTTTCCGTTACATCCGTCTGTGTCACGCTTGACACACGTCAAGCCACGCTTCTCCATCACGTGACCGATTACTTCAAAACAAAACGCGGGAGCTCGCAAAATGAGTAAAAACAACTGCTGGAGATCGCAAATGACGGTGGCCTTAAAAGTACGTTCGAGACAACTGGATTAAAGTTATGGCTGAATACTCTGAGATCGCCACAATAGCACTGTTGCTATTTCCGACATCCTACCTGTGTGAGGCGGGGGTTTCTGCAGCAACGGCGACGAAAACAAAATTACGAAGTAGACTGGACATAAACCACACACTTGAGGTGTCATTGTCTCCTATTACCCCGAGATGGGACCATCTGCTTGCAGAAAATCAAGTTCGGTGCTGTGGTGAGTCGTCATTTTCATGCACTTTGAATTTGCGTTGTATCGTATTTTGAAGGCATTAAACATTGCCATAGCGATCGGAGTGTTGCGGCCAGATTAGACGCTCCTTGTGTTTATTATATTTCAAAAACGCCACAGTTTTCATGCAGCTCATACCATATTATTTTGTTGTATTATTTCCGCCACACCTTAAATGCCGGTCCCTGAAAATATTGTCTGACATAAAGCGGTCCGTGGGGCAAAAAAGGTTGGGGGCCCCTGCTCTAATTAGCATCCCAGGTCCCTTCAAACTTGTAATCAGTCATCTTATTTACAGGGTGACAAGTACTCTCTCACTCTGCTAGGTGACATGGTGTGAATCACACTAAACATGGACCAGAGGAAGCGAAGGAGAGAGTTGTGTCAGGAGATAAGAAAGAACATTAAAGACAGCCTTGATTTAAATCTTGAACTTCTGTGCAAGGTGCCAAAACATGCCGTTTGGAAAAGCACCAGTAAATTCTAAGACAACTGGAGGAGTTTGCTTATGAAGAGTCGGACACAATACCTGCTGAAGTCTCATTCAAAGTTACAAAAACAGTTTATTTTTATTTATTTATTTTTTTTAACTGTTCAACCAAAATTCAAAGCAATGTCTGATTTTTATTCGTTCATTTTCATAAATTTTTTAAATTTAGCGTTACTGTTGTCAGATTAAGATTTTTATCTGACCACTGTTGGTTTTTCTTTCATTAACAGAGAGGTAACAACAAATTCGTCCATGTGTGAATGTTAGGGATGCACTGAAAATTCACCCAAAATTCTGTAGTACAGAGCTGTCAAATATTACGGATCGTCCGTATTTTATTCCAGAAATCACTGTGCTAACCCGTTACGTCACACTTATTGTTCCGGATATTTTACAAATTATGAGTCAAATTACTCACACAGGTTGAAAACAAGCATAAATAGTTGGTAGATAATTGCGAGATGCGTTTGTCAACTCACCACTTGCAGACGCGACATTGCCCTGTGTTCATGCTGTCCACTCTGCGCAGCGCTCCAAACTGAATTTCCATGTAATGTATCCTGCAATTTACATTTGTTCTCACCGCTATTAGCCGCCTTGTTCATCAGTGCAGGAGCCACCAATCACATTGGGACTGGCTCAAACCAGGGCCATAGCTAGTTATTTGGAGACCTAAGGCAAATACAGTCACACAAACCACTGTAATGTTCTTGACTTAATTTACAAAATGTTTTGACAAATTGTTATGTAGCTTAATTTTTATATCGTTTGGCACTCTTGCCAGCTAAGATAAGGCTTAGGAAAAAATTAGGAAGCAAGGGGCTAAGACCTGGCTGAAGATGGAGGTGCGTCACACTTGGCCACTGACGGTGCACTTTGGTCAGTCACGCACATATTGACGTCCTGGAGGTGGGTGGTGCGCCCCAAATTCTCCTGCCACGGTATCTTCTCACTGGTTCAGAGTGAAAAGGCTGTCTGGCCACTGAGGCAGGCCGTGAAAACGTGAAGCTTGCACTTCAGCTAACTTCTTATTTTTAACAAGCCTGCAAGTACTGACATTCATACTTCACTTGGTGCAATCACATTTCCAAGGTCACCCGAAGTGACAGCCATCTGTGTGTGACACTTATGTTGGCACACATCACTACAGAAGGAACCACGGAGCTTGCACATTGACAAAGTTGGCAAAATGCAGAAAGTGATCCAGCAGAGGATTTTAAAACATGTTTTTTGGATGAATCTTTTGTGGTTTTCGGATTTGGCCACACATTTTCATTTCAGTGCATCACAAGCTTATGCGATAGTTCTGCCCAGTGTCTCGTCTTGTTTTAGCCTCAATCACTGGTGCATTCTGACTGCATTTTTACAATGAGTGGTGCATTTTTGTTGTCATACAGTCCTTATTCTGTTTAATATGGACCACCCTAATGACTTTGTTCTGATCCCTAGCAATTGTACCAAACTTTGACAGACTATGACATCCGGTTCTACATGTATGAGATCCTTAAGGTCAGTCAATCTTGAATTGTCTGCTGTTCAAAAACCTACACTACAGGATCTGTTTTCTTTCCAAATATGATGTGTGGCTTTTTTCAATAGGCTCTGGACTATTGTCACAGTATGGGAGTCATGCATAGAGATGTGAAGCCACATAATGTGATGATTGATCATGAACACCGCAAGGTGAGTGCTTGAACACCTGAGGAATACTGGGCGATATGACGGTATATGTCGTGCGGATGAGAGGGAAGTGTCTGCCCTGTTTGTGGTCATTTTTCACCTGCTTTGTCACCTGAAGTTAAATACAGGTAGTAAAAGCAGACAGAGCAGAGGCCTGAAGTGACAGGCAAAAGCTTTCATTTGTCATTTTTTTATGCAACTCAGTTGCCACCAGGTGGCAGCCTGCCTCAAAGACTGCAGACTGCATGGCATTGCAAATGAGTCGTTTTCAACTGCCTTATTGACAAAACTGGTCAATAAAAAGATAAATATACATGAGCAACAACATTTTCACTCTGATTTTCACCTTGACACATTCAAATATTGATTGTATAAATTTTAGTTTTCCAATATGTTTTCTACTTTATTAAAATATCCAATAATACACTAACTTGAAAGGACACTGTCTGAAGTGTTTTCTGTTAACTGTAATGATATTTATGAGCCATGCGACGTCAGTAATTCTCAACTGTATTCATAGAGTACTTTAAAACAACCACCGCTGAATATAAAATGCGGTACATGGAGCAAAAATAATTTGTACAACAATAAAAAATACATTAATAGCGAAGATAGTAGAAAGCACAAAAACAGTCAAACTAAAAATCAAGTGTCATGCTGAGTCAAAAGCCAAAGAATAAAAATGAGTTTTCCGACAAGAGTTTTAAAGATGGGCAGTGAAGTGGCTTACCTGACTGCACGATTTGCTGGCCAGTGATGCATGCCATACAACAAACTCACAAACGGTTTGTGTACATACTACCATCAGATTGACAGCGTCACACATACCACTGCGCATGTGTAAATTACGTGACTAAAACCACACAAGAATAAGTGCATGCAAATTAGTCAATGGTTAAAACACCTAAATATAAAAAGCGGCATTCCCACAATACTTTGCTGCAGTTATAAGTCACACTTGTGATGGTGTTAATTGACATATATATTATTTTGTAAAGGCAGTGTGTAATATAATTACAGGGAGGTTGTTTCTTGCGCTACTTTTGGTGGTAAATTATTGTGACTTCTGCCAAGACCGTAAATAACAAAGATGTGCAGTCACTATATACAGTACACAGTATTTCAATGGCTTGCACACGATGTAGACGTGTAGTTGCAGTGAAAAGGACAGTGAAATGTATTGCCGAAAGCGTTTTTTGTTAATTTCACAATGAACTAACGAGCCACTGGGATTGACAGTACGACTCATTTAAAAAAAAAACCTAAAAAAAAACCAGACAAAAGTGTATGTTTCGATATAGTGCGCATCGAACCGGAACCCCTGTATCGCATGATTTGATAAAGATATGTGTATCGTTGCTCCTCTAGTATTTATGTGTGTGTCACAATGTATTATTGACTGTTCAATGTATGTATCTTTCTGTAGTTACGTCTTATTGACTGGGGCCTGGCTGAATTTTACCACCCAGGACAGGAGTACAACGTCAGAGTCGCCTCACGCTATTTTAAAGGACCAGAGCTCTTGGTGGACTATCAGGTACACATGAAATTGCTAGCATGTGAAGGAGAGCATATCCTTGTTTTATCAATTGTGTGCATTGTTCCCAAATTCATGTTTGAGTGTTAGGGGCTGGGGGTCAATTTTAGGAAGCACATAGTGTGCCTTCAGAAACTGTTTGCCTTTTCTTTTTTGTGTGTGTAGTTTTGATTATTTTAATATTTAAGATACCCCCCCCCCCCAAAAAAAGTAACAAAGATAACCCAAGTACATGTAAAATGACGGTTTTGTATGTAACTGCATTTCTATGAGTCCCAAATGACCGCCAGGGGCACTGTTTAAAGTACTGGTGTCAAAATCAAGGCCCGGGTACCATATCTGGCCCCCCACGTCATTTTATGTGGCCCGCGGGAGCAAATGATGCATGTAAACTTTTATGATTCTTGTTGAAATCTGTACCGAAATGTCAAATTGTAATAAATAACGTTAATATTTTGCACCGGCCCTCCGAGGGAAGCCGTAACTCTGAAATGGCCCACGACAAAAAATGAGTTTGACACCACGAGCTTAAAGCTTGTAATTTCCCTTTCTGCATGCGCGGGTTGAGAATGCAAACCAAAAAATGTCAATTAGTAACCACCGGGTGACCCACGGCGTGTATAAAAGCCTGTGGCACCTGGAAGACAGTCCCTCAAAACTTTCTCACGCGAACACAAGGAATCCGAGTGACATAACATCCTGGCGGTCATTCGGGACCCGTAGAACTATAGTTACATGTGTAACCGTTCTATGATGTCGCTCCAGACCGCCAGGGGCACTGTTTACAGCGCGGAATGACTACTTCCAGCATACAAACCTCACTGAGAAGCCTCAGAAGAGCCAAAAACCACACCCAGAAGAAAGGGAGTGGTGACATCCACACATAATATTTGGGGAAACTGTAAAGCGATGACCAGGGGGCAGCAGCACACATGTCCTTCAAGGGCACTCCCTTCAGAATAGCCCAAGACATTACAAAATCTCTGGTTAAATGTCAGCGCACCACCGATGGCAAGGGGCGGCTTGACGCCAAAAAAGACTCTAATCGTATTTACGATCCAGCGAGACAAACACTGTTTGGAAAGCGCAGCTCCTTTGGAAGGGCCACCATAAGAGACAAAAAAAAACTGTGCACACATACGTAAGGTGACACTAGCGTGAATATCAAAACAAAGAGCCCTCAAGGGCCACAAGAGCTCCGGATTGACACCCCACATAGGTTGGTTAACATGAGGTGGGGACAGGACCTTGGGAAGCACAAAAGCAGTGTTTGGCCACAGGGTGACACCAGCACCAGGTGGGTGCCACCTCAGACAGGACAGACTAACAGACAGTGCGTAAAATTTACCGAAATGCTGACCTGAAGCAATGGCGAGTAAGAAAACAGCCTGACGAGACACCCCCTGAAGGGCCGCATTAGCCAGGGTTTCAAAGGGAGGCTGGAAAAGCGTGCCATTGACCGAGTCAAGGTCCCAATGGGGACACAAGGTGGATCGCAAGGACGAGTGCACAGAGACCTGCTAAGGAACGACCAAACAGTAACATGGCATCCCACCGAGCCTTTGCCGATTTTAGCGTGCCGGGGAGAAATAGCGACATCAGCCTTCAGAGTAGAAGAGCGACCCTTATCCAAGAGAGACTGCAGGGAATCCACAAATGTGGCAATCAAGCAAACCTCAGGGTCCAACCATGGCTGACACACCATGCCACAAACAAGGTCCACCTCTTCCCCTATAGCAGCTGAGTAATAATAATTATTATCATGCGTCATATGTATCAGAGGTCCACAACCTTTTTTGCCCCTAAGACCGGTTTCATGTCAGACAATATTTTCAGGGACCGGCCTTTAAGGCCGGATAGATACAGCAACATAATATATGACCCGCATGAAAAGTGTGGTGTTTTCGAAACATAATAATAAACACCAATCATGAGACGACGAGCGTCCTATCTGGCCACAACATGGTAACGTTTAAACGTGCCTTCAAAATAAGATAGGTCGTAAATAAAAAGTGCATGAGGCCAAACAAAAAAGATTCCGGTAACATGAAATTTCAGCATAGTCGGTAGGTCGGGTTTTTTTTTTTTTTTTTTTTTTTTTTTTTTATGAATCTTTTTTTTTTTCATCAAAAATTTAAACAAAATAACCATAAAACATAAAACAAAGAGACATCGAACCCCCCGCTCGCCGCCAAAGGCAGCGAGAGAGTTGGGTATCCGCCGGCTGGGTGTTAGGTTCCGAGGTCAAACGGGTCGCGATGGCACCGGCGGGGAGAGGTCCCCCGACGCCGGACGCGCCCCGGCCTGGACTAGAGTTGCGTAGACTAGGCAGACGGTGCGTCGATGAGCGCGCGGGTCGGGCGGTCAGGGAACGCCGACGGGCGACGAACCCCGCGCCCGACACCGTCCCCTACCCCCTCAACCATCCCGCCGCTCCGCGGCCGGCGCTGCCACCACCTATTTAGTTTTCTCTCCGCTCCGGACTGGGGGGGGCCGGGGCGCGCCGCTGCCTCCGCCGTCCTCCTCCGCCGTCCTCCTCCGCCCTCAGTTTTTACTCGGCCCGTGGTGTTCATCAAATAGTTAGCTGAATTTTTTCGATATATCAATGGATGCTATTTTCTTAACATTACGGTGCGAGCATGTGACTGTAACACAGAAAACGTGGTTTAAACTGTCGTCGGAGATCGCGGCCGCCGCCATGATTCAATGTTGTTGACAGACGACAGGGCAAACGACGCACGCGCTCAACATGAATATCGCGAGAGTTTACACATTTTTGTGTAGAGGGTTGTTTGAAAAAAATGCCGACCGTAAAGTTTTTTTTCGACGTAGAAATTCTCGGTCGGTCGGGTTACCGGAAACACACTACTTTTTTTTTCTCCGCCTGAAAAATACAACTCACCATCGCCGCTTATCGCCGCAGAGTAGGCTTGGTGCGTGTGAATCTCCCATTGAGATAAAGCCGTATTTGAAATAGGACTCCTGATACTGTCCATTAAATGTAGCCTTCTCTTTCTTGAAAGTCGTAGGCTCTTCTTCTGTCTCCTGGCTGGGCCTTTTCGCCTCCCTGTAAAAACTTTTCAAAGACGTTTGTTTCTTTATGCGGTAACCTATCACGTGACCGAGAAGCGCGCATTCACCTGTGTCAAGAGTGACATACTGTAGGCTGATATAACAGAGAATTCGATAATTTTTCAAAATAAAGCATCTTTCAGATTCCGAAATGAATAAAACGGAAGGAATGTAAGTTCTTCATTCTTTCTGTGCGGCCCAGCATTAAATGACCCGCGTACCGGTCTGCGGCCCGGCGGTTGGGGACCCCTGATATATATAGACAGGGCCTTGACATTAACCTCATGGGACCTGGCGTCCACATGTGTGGACATGACGTTTTGGGTTGTCAAGACTACAATGTTAAATTTTGGACTACAAGGGCCTGGCGTCCACTTACGAGGATGTTACATCATGTAAAAATATAATTCTTTGTTTTTACACTCATCAGGTCCCAATTAGCCTAAATATCAAAGAGAAAATAAAAATAAAATAAAAATGCATGCCTTGCAAGACTCCAGGTCTTAGGAGGTTAAAAATGTTTTGCCTGACCGACTCCAAGCAAGAGTCAGCAGTTGGTCATGCCCCTCAGCAGCCAAACACACAAGCGGAGGGCAAAGAAGGATGTAATACCAGATGGGAATAAGCCACAGGTCAGAGAAGCAGAGATGGCTTAGCAGCCAATATAATCTTGGCTGGGCAAAAAGGGGCCACCTTCAGCATTTGGGCTGAAGGTGCGCCAGAGCATCCTAGGCCAAAGCGCTGTTGCCCTCCATTAGGGAAAACCAAAGGGGACAGTGAGTGGAATCCTCTGAGGCAAAGAGGTTGATTTCCAGCAGTGGGTCCCAGCGGAGAGAGAATCTGCCACCTGGTTCATGACTCCTGGAAGATACCTGGCCCGTAGACTGGCTCGATGGGGGCAACACTTCTTAAAAGACGCTGGGAGGTCTGCAACAAGTGGGCAAACCTTGTTTTTCCCTGGTGGCTTGTGTGGAAAACTATTAAGGAGTTGTCAGAACTCACAATCACGTCATCCCTACAGGATTGGAAGAAAATGGATGAGAACCAAATGCACTGGACGGATTTCCAGTACATTGACGTAGTCGGCGTTGTCCTGCACAGACCACTGCCCCCTCCACCCCCCCACGCCCCTCCACACAACCACCTACCCCGCTCGAGTCGTCAGGCTGACGTTCGTGGTGACTACCTCTCGGCGGGCTGGCACCACACCCAGTGGACCGCCCGTCGAGAGAAACGATTGCCGACCTCATGGCGCCAGAGCAAGGAGGCACCGACAGGACATCCTGAGTCTGTAGTGACGGTGTAACATGGCGTCCATGTGGAAGCCGTTGAGCCACATCTAGAGATTCAACACCGTCACCTTTATGCTTCTTGATTGCAGGGGTGTAAGCGCAGCCTTCACGAACCGAGTGAACACACTTGAGGAGAGCAAGATGCTGAAAAGAAGCGCTTGGAACTGCCAGTCATGGCCTCCGTAGGAAAAGCAGAGAAAATACCTGTGATGAGGTGCTAATAAGCAGGCATTAACTATGCTTTTAGTAGTATCTTCGTTTCATAATGGCTGCACAGAACTCACAAAGAAGTTGTTTGTTTGTGTGTGTGTGTTGGCGAATGCACGTCAATTCATGTGAATGGCATAGGAACACTAATAGGCAAACAACTTAATGGGGAATGTAATATAAAGAGACTAACGCCATATATAAGGTGCACTATCTGCTTTTGAGAAAATTAAATGCTTTTAGGTGTGCCTTATAGTGCGGAAAATATGCTATGTTTTGTAGTGGTTAGATAAGATTGACTTGGTCGTTTTATAAGAAGCTCACATGCTGATAAAGTGTGACTCCCCCTGTGCCAAAGGATCCACAGCTTCACGGACAGCCTAACCAAGCACACAAAGTCACATTGCGACATACGCGGCAAACAACAAAAGCAAGATCAGTCAACAAAATAACCAGCTACTTCACCTCATGTGGTATGGCCACATACATCAGCGGCCACACAGAAGGTCACCTCTGCGAACATAAACAGAGCCATCACGGCAACAGGAGGGTGGGAAAAAAATCCGAAGCTCCAACCTACAGTGTCACAAAGCTCCTAGCAATGGAAAAACAGATGAAGAGAATGAGCAATTCAATCTGAAACGAAAAGTGGAACCCAGTGACATGCAAGACAATGAACAAGGTTTTTCGACTTTCGGGTGCCACACACTATAATACATGTCCTGGGTCACCTGGTGGTAACAAATGACGTTGGTATGCATTCTTGACCTGTACATGTGTGAAGGGGTATTCCGTGTTTTAAGCACTGCCCCCGAAGGTCTAGAGGAAGGTCAAAAAATGCTGTTTTGAATTTAAATTTGTGTCAAACTAAGTACAGTATAGCACACACTGTGTAAAAACTTGATTTTGTATCGTTGATGTCCTGATGCTTTGACTCTGAGGTGATGTGTGTGAGTGATTGCTGCAAAGCATGTGTGCTTATTTGAAGTTAAATGCATATACTGTATGTAGGGTTGCCACTAAATGATTTTGTGAGTCGACTAATCACCAACAGTGGTCACGATGTTATGGCCCACGATATTTCATGGCCGTCTATTTATTTATTTATTTTTAGGTAGGGGGGGTTAATCTTTGTATGTGTGCAGGAGCTCTGCCTCTGCTCCTTCCTGATTGGTGGCCCTTGTCTCTAACTCAGCTGACTACTCAGTCCAGTGGGGAGTCTTATTCATTTGTGTGTTTAGGAAAACTCGCCATAATTAGTTTTGGTTATTTTGGTAATTTCATGTGTTGCACTCAGGCAGTAGGATTCGGGAGTGTTTGTCGTGTCTTCGTCTTATGTGTTTTGGGTGAAATGCGCCTGACTATTTGCCATGTGACTGCATGACGCACAATGCTCCTGTTGAGATCACGAATGACGCGGATCCCCACTACTGCACAGGACAATACATACATCCATTGGAAAAAGTGTTAGTTAAAGCACTTTTGACAGACAAAGGGCCAGATAAATAAATCCATAACTAAACAACTCATCGACTCTTCACTTAATTTTTAACCATCAAAATCGTCGTCATTGTGACTGGTTGACTAATCATGGCAGCACTAAGTGTATTATTTGTTTAATTGCACGTGGAGTTATTGCAGGACTGGCATCTCTGTGTTTCAGATGTATGACTACAGTCTGGATATGTGGAGCTTGGGGTGTATGCTGGCAAGCATGATCTTCAGGAAAGAGCCTTTCTTCCATGGCCATGACAACTATGACCAGGTAATCACAATGAAATGAAACTTTGAAACAATTGCCTTGCTTTTTCACTGATTGCCAAGATTAAATTGTGGATTTCAAACAAACAGTCGAACCTCGGTTTTCGACCATAATCCGTTCCAGAAGGCTGTTCGAAAACCGAATTGTTCAAAAACCGAAACCATGTTTCCCATTAGAATCAATGTAAAAAAAATTAATCCGTTCCAAGTTGAGAAAACAACTTTTTTAAAAGCATTTTTTCAACTATTTTACACCATAAACTGTATACACGTGTAATAAGAGAGCAGGTAACAACAAACTACAAACATTTTGTATGTTTTATTTTTACCAATTTTAACAAACATTGACATTGTAACATAAAAATTGAACATCTCTGTCTCTTTCTCTCTCTCTCTCTCTCTCTCTCTCTCTTTCTCTCTCTCTCTCTCTCTCTCTCTCTCTCTCTCTCTCTCTCTCTCTCTCTCTCTCTCTCTCTCTCTCTCTCCCTCTCTCGTTACAATTGTAGATTTCATTCTTTTACACCTTGAATTTATAAACCCTAAAGTAATGATTGTAACTATGGACGCTCTGTCTACAATCCTACACTCCGGTATGAGGTAACATCCCTCCATCCATTTTCTGAACGGCTTTATCCACACAAGTCCAGTCTCGTTCATATTAAAAGTTTGCTGGGGAAGACATTCCTCGGCCTTGATGAGATTTTCAAACTCAACTTTAAACTTTTCGGCAGCTTCCTTGTCTGAACTGGCTGCCTCCCGATGACGAATCACTTCTTTTCCTCAACTTTTCGAACCATCCTCTGCTTGCTTTAAAATCAAACTCTTCAGGAGCAATGCTAGGATCCTTTTTTTTTTTTATATCAAATCTCCATACAATTGTATTGTTTTGCCACAAATCGTGTCTTGGCTCACTCCCTTGCTAGCTGTTTCTCATTTATGAAAATAAGCAAATGTTTCTCCACTTCCTCTAATATTTGTGGCCTTTGTTTACTAAACACACGAGATCCTTTAGCCACAAAACTAATTTTATGATGGTCTTTCTTTTTTAGGATGCTGCTGATTTCGGCATGCCGAACTCCTTAGCCAACACAGACACATGCACACCTGATTCATATTTCACTATCAAATCTTTTTTAAATTCAATAGCTTTGCGCACTATCTTCCTCTTTTTTTCAGCAGCTTTACTACTTCCACTTGCTTTCTTTGGTGCCATGCAGAAATAACAGTCCAATTTGCGTCGATCTCAACAAACACGTCTGCTTTTTTAAAAAGCTTTATTGAACACGTCTGCTCACAATGGACGCACAATGGACGCTCTTTTTTAAAAAAATCTTTGAACACGTCTGCTCACAATGGACGCTCTTTTTAAAAAAATCTTTGAACACGTCTGCTCACATTGGACGCTCTTTCTTTTTTTAAAAAAAAATCTTTATTGAACATGTCTGCTCACAACGGAGGCGTCACTTCTTCGTCAACCTAAGGAAGCATCACTTCCTCGTGTAAGGAAGTTGAGAGAAGTCAAGTGGCGCATTCAAGTGCGCTTAGTTTGGTCAAGAACCGAATTTCGGTCGTGATCCGAGGCATAAAAAACTCGAAATTTTTGGTCAAAAACCGATTTGGTCGAGAACAGAGACGTTTGAAAACCGAGGTTTGACTGTATTTTAGTCTGAATAAATTCAATCTGTCATTGGATTTGGATGAAACCCTACACACTATAATTAAATATGCTTTATGTTACCCAATGATTTTCCCAGATTATGCATTAAACACGCTGGTGCATATTGGACAACGTAGGCCTGATTGGGTTGGCCGATATTTTGCATTACTGTCTTTGTTTAGCAGATCGGTCAATATCATTGATCAGCTCCGCAAAATAAAATAATACATCTGCAGCGGTTTCCCACGTAGCGGTGCCGCCACTCAGAGATTTTGATGTTACCTTTCAATGTGTAACTGTTGTAATAACTTTGATTGCTGCACAGTAAGCCGCTCTGCTGCTTGTTTGGTTCTTGTGTTTCTGCTAACCGATACCAGTCCAGATTTCCTTTGTGGTACGATTTTGCAAATACAGTGCCTCAAACAACTTGAAATATCAACCGTTATCAGTAGCTGGGTTTCCAGTACCCTCAGAAATGCGCAAAACACAAATTGCGAGAGCAAACTAGTAATGGAAACAGAAATTACAAAAAGAATAAATAAATAACTTTCGCAGATCGCAAAAATATATCAATATAGAAGTACATGTCAATATGGTAGTTGGTATCTCACAAAAATGTAATGGAAACACATTACCGGCTACCTTTATGCGCGTCTTTGTTTTGATACTCTGCTCAATATACAATGTCCTTTCCTCAATTTGAAAGGAAGTTCCTTTTCATCCCTCCGTGAACCGATGGTTTCTACCACAAAGGTAAAAGAAATGTGTTGAAGAGGTGAAGAGCAGCTTAGGGAGATTTTTCGGGAGCGCTTGTGTCACATGCTCAAAAGGAAAATGCTGATTGGACAAAAAGGAGATCTGATTCTGCAATGGATTTCTCATCCTCAAGTACCAGAATGTTGGTCACACAAACTGATTGAGCACATTTGCAGTCAGAATTTTTACTTGTGAAACTGAATGTGAAAAGCCAGGCAAACTGAATCTGTGTGGAAAATATTTGAATTTGTGTTTGTAAATCTGATGTGAAAAAATGTACAGAATTGGATTTTCAGTGCACTTATTCAAGTTGAGCGATTCAAATTATTCCCATCCAGAGGTATGTCAGTGAATGTGGCAATTTTGGAAGCTGCCTCAAATGTGCACACACAGTGTATGACATTGTCAATATCCTGAGGCGAATCTTTATTTACTTACATGATAATTTTTTAACCGGCTGGCGTGCGTGTGTCACAAACGAGCTTCCGCATTACGTGTGACGGCAGACGCACTGCACACCAATTTTATGGTTCGACTGGCTTCCAGATTAACTGGCTCCCGATTGCAGCTATGACCATTAGGGCAATGTCAGTCCAATAATTTTGTGTTTCCTGTCTGAAGATTCATCACAAACTACATTGAAATTGGGCAACTGCATAACTGTTCAATTCTTCAACAAACAAAACGCCTTGTTGACAACTCTCGACTGGCTGCAAGAAATTGTAAACATAGTAAAAAGTAAAACCATCAAGGTAGAGAGAAGTATGTGAACCCATGACATTAAGGAATAAAAGCAGCACATTCGGGCGACTGCTCTACCCCTTATGCCATGAGCTGGCGCACTTTCACCGGTGCAAAATTTGTACTCTCGAATCTAAAGAAGTTCCCCAGCGAGAGCACGAGTAATCTGGTGCTCAACGTCGCCCATGTCAACTGGCTGTTCGGAAGCAACTTGACATAGTCGTGATCGTGTTGTTTTCACCTTACTTTAAGTTCATAGCTGACACTCCCAGACTCACCTGCTCCAAAAACCACAAGGGAGTTAGTGCGCTGTCCAACCAGTTGCACTGTTCGACAGGAAGTGTTGGGGTATATTTCAAAATGACAGAGTACCTGAAAATAAGCAAATACATTTTCAGGCCAACTTATGAAATGTGCATTAACCGTGCTGACGAATGGCACTTTTTTCCCCTTTTGTGAGATGATCAGGCAACATAACCTCATCAACACCATCACTGTTCCCTCTAATTTTTCATATGTCTGGGCAAACAGACAAGCTCCCTGAGCACACCGAGGACCACTGTGACGAACATCAGAAGTCTTCACGGTGGCCACACACTAGTACCACACCTGGGATCATAGAAAGTTACTGGCTTATTCAAAGAATCAAATTACAACAGCAATTTCCATAAGTTTACTTTTAATATAACTAATTTGGCCCACTTGAAGTGAGAAAGACAAAACTCATTCATTGTTCGTGAGAGTCCAACTTTGGCCGGTGAGGTCCAGTCTTGGCCTGGATGAGGGTCTTTCTCTGGAAGAAATGAGACATACACACCTTTCAGACGTAACATTTTGTTCACATTAAAACATTCACATTTTCCACAATGATGTGGGCTGTATCTCGTGATCATGTCTTTCTAAAGAATAGAATTTAATGCTTAATATCCATAAATAAAACATCTTAATAAATGTCACCAGAATATTCAGATTTGACTTTTACCTTCGTTTTCACGTTTGTCCTTCTCACTTGAGTATTCCAACAGCATTCAAATGACTATTCTGCTGAATGTGTCGCTTGAGGTAGTCCAGCTTCCATTTAGTCCATATTTTCCATTGGAAAATTCGCTGACAACTTTCGCTTCGCTGCATGTTTTGCAGAGCAGACCTTTCTCACTTGAAAAAGAAAAAAATCTCACCCAGTTTCACCGCTTGTTTCATTTGTTGATTAATGTGCACTGTCCCAATGAAATAAGAAAAAAAAAATGCACATACTCCGACAGCCATCCCAACCTTGAAGAACCGCAGTTCATTTTTATTTTGGTTTGGGGAGTCGACATATCACGTTCACTGCCCGGTCGTTTCGCCATGATAAAGGATTAGCATTAGCGTCACTTATCGCCGCCACACTGTTATTGTTATGGAGCAGAGAACATGCATAAGTACTGTCAATGCCGTGATTGGCTGCACAGCGTCATTGCATCATATCGTATGATTGGCTGGACACCTGTCACTCACTGACTTACACAGCAAAGTGATGCAGAAAAAATGTGATACAGTATATTTTATTCATTTGAAGTGCGTTCACTGCGCTGGATAGGTTTTCTTGTGTCCTGAGAGTGTGCGGCCAGTGTGCAGTTGCGCAGCTTAGAGGGAACACTGCACACCATCACTGTTAATTTATTCTGGAAAACAGTTAGTTGTACAGCAGGGACTCCCAGGCGCATGAATGGCGCTTCATACTGGCCCTGGCCAAATTTTCCACTTTTCGTGACGATCCGGCAGCATATTTTTTTTGTCCGATTTTTTTCCCGTTTTAATGCTCTCATCAACATGGAATCATGGATCAGTTTTCTATGTGTAAAATGCAAATATTTACTGAAACAACAATTTCGATTTTCAATTTTACATTAACATTTTTCACTTGGAGCAGTTATTCACACATAATCTTGCACACAATATTACTGTCCATCAACAACAGTGAAAAAAATATTTTGTCACAACAGCTCCTTTAACAGCTCTTTTTAGGGAATCAAAACAGAGTAATATGAAATTATAAAGTGCACATCTAAGGTAAACTAGTACTCAGCCTATAGTGGATTTAAGCCATGGTTGCATACTTCGTTTTTCTCAAGTTTGCTTTGAACACAGCAGTCAGGCTATGTTGATTCTGTTGGTCCTTCTTGCGCGGAGTCTCTTCTATGGTTTTGTGTAGAAATCATTTCGGATGACTACACTTGGTTCGAGGCACATCACTGGAGACGTTTTATTTTCAGTGTGGTCGCTACCACTGCACCGCTGAACTCTCGACGTCCCTCAGCGCACCGTCACTGTCAGACGAACACAGAGAAGCTCCACCCCCTTTATTTATATGGACACGGAACATGGTTACTTTCCACACCAAATAGTTCCAAACAAGTAACAATAGTGTCAGTGGCATACATCGTACTCAACAGGCTACCTGCTCTTGATTCAGCAGAGGCTCATCAACCTAGTCTCTTATTTCTCTCCCCTTGAGTCTAGCTGTGGACAATGTTGACAGGCTTGCATGCAGTAGCCATACATTTAGCTATGGCTTTAGCAAATTTGTTCTTCGTCGTGTTATCCATTTTCTTCGCTTTGAAATGATCCATAGCTGTCTGTCTTAGACGAGGGGGCGGAGTAGTCACATCAGCTGTGTGCTTGGCCATTAAGTGGTATTTCAGACTCGACGTGCTATGATGATAGCTCAGTCTACGACTGCAAAACATACAGGTAACTTTGGTCTTGTCAGTGGAACCATCTGGCAACTTTTTAAAAGTAAACTTTGCATTCATAAACTCTTTAAGTATCCGTTTTCGGTGTCTCGCGCTGCCATGGCTGGCAAAACAGACTTGGGCGTGGACCTGTTCAGCGCGCTTGTTGTTTTGTTTCCAGTTTATTTATAGAGCAATGTAACATCCGCTGTGACGTGTTGCCGCATTAATCTCGCGATAAAAAATTTAATCACGTTAAAATTGATTTAAATTAATCCCGATAATAACGCGCTAAATTGACAGCACCAGTAATGATGTTTAAACCCCCCGTTTTATTCAGTTACTCCATAAGACGTATATGCACCTGCTCCTGAGATCAGTACAAGCATAACCCTTATTTACTTACTTTAGTTGCTTTCCTCTGACTTACTAGACCAAGTTACTATTGTCAGACCCATAATTTTTAACCATGGTGGCTGCTACATAAATGATAAAAACCGTAGCATATAAATTTGTACTGTATGAATTAAACAGTCTGCTAAATGCATATTGTACTGCAGTTTGTCTTATGTTTCTAATGTTGCCGGCGCATTCATTAAGTTACTGAATATGAACAATAAGGCAAACACAGTCAATTATCTGAGATAGTCTGTGATACTTGTAGGTCCATCATTCGCCATAGTTAATGATTACAAAAACTGTTTTCTGTTTGTTCTCAAATGCGTACCATTGACTATTCAAAAACACACATTCCAAAGGTTTAATCATGTCAAATTTATTTATATAATCTGTAGCGGCAACTTACTGTCCTTTTGTCACTACGTCAGCAGGGCATGAAGGTTTCCGACTAGTGCCTTTCTCTGATGGGCCTTTCTGTTTAACGACGACGACAACAAAAACATGGGGCCATCGTAGTTGATCCAAAAAAAAAAGGATTCACTTTAATTTCTTCTTGAACACAAATTAAGGCTTTACAAAAAAATGACAAACATAACTTGGTAGTGTAACGTTAGTCCACTAACACGATCCTACACTTAAACGAAACACGTACATGTAACACGTTAACACGTTTTTAAGTAACATGTTTTAAACACGGTCAGAAAAGTTGTTGTTCTATGCCTTACTGTCTTCCTAATGCTGCTTACGTCAACCTGGCTTTTTAACAGGCTAAAGACAGGACAACTAATGGAGCCCAAATACCTAAACATTCTTAATAAATTTACTGTAAGTAAAATAGCAATAAAATAAAACATCAAATACAAACCAAACACCTATTCAAATCCGATTATCAAATGGTGAACAAATAGCTAAATATATAACTTAATCAAAATTTCCTGATAGCTCTCACATAATCCTTTATCAGAGAAGGGCTTCACAATTCCACAACGACATCCCCTGATCTTAACCCCCTAGAGCATAGGTGTCAAACTCAGATCCTGGAGGGCCGCTGTCCTGCATGTTTGACACCTATGCCCTAGAGCAGTGGTTCTTCATCTGGGTTCGATCAAACCCCAGGGGTTCGGTGAATCTGTCTTAGGGGTTCGACAGAGCTTCTGCCATGGAGGTTTGGATACACCCGACTCAACATGTCAATTAGTTATGACACGCCCGCTTGGCCATCACTGGCTGCAGATGATCACATTACATTGCTTGTCCAATCAGTGCTGCGGGAAATTTACTTCACTCAGTAGTCAACGTGTGACTGTTGTGATAGTATGTCGTGTGATTTTTTTAGAATGTTTTAATACATGTGAACTATGTCGAGCAAAAAAAGAAAGTGGTCGGACGATTATATACAACATTCACATGCATCACAGAACGTGATGGGACTCAGCATCCTATCTGCATGATTTGTCATGCCAAGTAGAGCAACTCGACTCTCACATTCTAATGAAGGGTTCAATGAATATGCATATTAACTGGTTGGGTTCGGTAACTCTAACGAGGTTAAGACTCAAAGAACCCAATCAAGGTAAAAATGGGGAGCCTTGAGAAGGGGCCACAGATGCGGGAAGAATCCCTCTTCCAGGTTGACCAGGCTGCAATGGATGCCGAGTGGCAACAACTTACACACAATGCATTATTGTAAAATGCTAACTACAATAGTGTCAAATTCCATTGAAAATGATGAAGTGCAGCGAGAAGAGGCCTTCGGAGAAGTAGGTCCCCTTCATAATCCGGCCTGGTTCATCCCTAGCAGCTTCCAAGGTACTGGCCAACCTTTGATCTTGTGCCAATCAGTCTATGCCGTATTGAACGGTTGAATTGAGACATTAAGTAAAGTCAAATAAATGGGGGACTTGTTCCAAAAAAGATAACATACGGACATGTTTCACTCAAACAAATTATCCAGTTGAACAGTATCAACCGCTGTTATTTTAAAAAAGGTCAATGTAAAGCACGGACCATCGAACTAAAATGGAACATAAGTGAATGTTTTATTACTTTTTTTTTTGTCAATGTTTTAGTCTTCACTTGCAGAGAACGGCCAGCAGGGGCGGTACTGCTGTACTTCACTTGCCAACCTGACCCTATGTCTCTCAATGTCTCATTCAACTAATGAGCGTTCCTGTCTATATTTTATTGCTGGTACTCTCTGCACAAACTGAGAGGCCTGTTTGTTTTTGTTCAGCTGGTCAGAATAGCCAAGGTTTTGGGAACAGAAGATCTATATGACTACGTTGACAAGTACAACATTGAGCTCGAACCTCGCTTCAATGATATACTTGGAAGGTAAAGGTGCTACTCAAGTTGCTACAAATTTCACTTTGAAAAAAAGAATAAAAAACAATTTGGAGTTTAAAGGGGAAGTCAACTCCAAATTTTTATTTATAGTTTGTTCTATGCGGCCCCACTAATCTAAATACGGTATTCTGATTAATATTGAAAATGGGTGGATTTTGATACTTAATATATGTTCCCCAAACGCAGTACTGTATCAGTCAGAATACCATGCTTATACTAGTGTGGCCGCATAGAACATATTGTAAAGACATTTTTTGAGTTGACTTGCCCCTTTTCTCTAGCCTCAGGTCCTGCAATAATTGAATATCAATTCTCTATATCAAGTACATTTTATATGTGGTATCATGACATTTTTGTTTGTCTTCCAGGCATTCTCGGAAGCGGTGGGAACGCTTTGTCCACAGCGAAAACCAGCATCTGGTCAGCCCAGAAGCTCTGGATTTCCTTGATAAACTGTTGCGGTACGATCACCAAGCCCGTCTAACTGCTCGTGAGGCCATGGATCACCCCTACTTCTGTAAGCACTCACATGCAGTGAAGAGTTAAATTAGTAATGGGAATTGCCTTGTAGTCCTTTGCTCTGTGTTGTCCCTGCAACATTGCCGGTACAACATTGATTTAGTGCACTGTTAGAAAAAAAAAGGTGCTGGAGAGGTTTTGTTTAACCAAGATATGTTTTTGTGAGTTGACCACCGACAGCCGTGTGGAAAAAGTGTTTGCCCCCTTCCTGATTTTTATTTATTTATTTATTTATTTTTTGCATGTTTGTCTAGAGGTGTCAAATTATCGCGTTAATTGCGATTAATTAATTACAGTACATTTAGCGCTTTTTTGTATCGCGTTAATCGAAATTTAATCTCTGTCTTTCTTGTTTCTCTCGGTGGGTTGCCTTTTTCTAATAGCCCCTTTTTTGTGTTAGCTTCCTGTGTTCAAGTTGTTGAGGGTGGGTAAACAACTGTCAGTCACAGCCTGAAGCGGACTTTGATTGCCTGCCATTATGTTGGGCTTGTTTAGCCGAAGCTGATAGGCTCCCATTGGAGTTGGGCGGGCTTAGTAAGCAGCGGTGAGGAGTGGAGAGGTAAAAATGGAGCAGCATATGAGAGTTCTCGGCACAATGAATGGAACATTTACATTCCAAAAACGCCCTGACGACACAATTGATAAAGGTAGAGTGTTGCGCCTAATTTGTAAGGAGTTTGCGTACCACCAAAGCAGCTCAAATTTAGCCTCCCACATCAACGCAAAGCACCCAGTTGCGAGTGCAGCCACAGCTAACGTTAGCAGCAAAAGCATTTGCAATATAGCGAGCGAGCCATACATAGTAAAAGCTCTTTGGCAAACTAAACTCGAGAACACCCCATGTATGAGGCATGGTTGATGTATCCTCTGTAGACTACTAGAAGTGTTTGATGTTTATTTCAGCGCTTTTAGTTTGTGATGATGAACAGTGTTATGAAGTGCGAACTTACAGCACTGTGATTGAAGGGTCTGTTTCATTTATTATTTATTATCTGAAGCAAGTTCAGTGTTGATTACTTGTATTGCTCAGAAAATTGTTCTTACTGTTTTTGATATGTTAACCAAAGCACTTTTTAAGGACCTGATGTATTTTATTTTTATTTTGTAATTCATGAGAGATTTAAAAAAACAAAACAGTGATATTCCCCCTCGTGGTCAAAACTAAAGGTTGCAGGTAGTGCTTTGACTCGTCTCAAATACAGCAGAAAGTAAATGTGTAGGACTGCATCTGTCCAAGTCTGCTGAAAAACAAAATACTTTATAATGCCACTTTTTCTTTTATCTTTTGATCTGCCTCAACAATGTAACGAATTTAAAATAAAAATAGGGTTTTTCTCAGCAATTTTTAGATGAGATTAAAATATAGATTAATTGGATTATTTAATTACAGGCCTTATTAATTAATCACACTTTTCTTTTAATCGCTTGACAGCACTATGTTTGTCATCATCAAACAAAATTAAATATTAGTCAGCACAGGTAAACAAAATGCAAATTTTAAATGAAGCTTTTTCTTTGTTAAGGGGGAAAACCCAAACCTGCATGGCCCTTGTGTGAAATGGTGATTGCCTGTCCTGTTAAAACATAACTGTGGTGTATTATACTTGAATTATATTCCTCAAGCCCAGGGGTCGGGAACCTTTTTGACTAAGAGAGCCATAAAAGCAAAGTATTTGGAAATGTATTTCAGTGAGAGCCATAAATAAATAAATATATTAAAAAAAAAATCCTCGTCTCACCCCTCGGGTGGTGTCCGTCCCTCATTCAGCTCGAGTCCTCTACCAGAGGCCAGGAAGCTTGAGGGTTCTGCGCAGTATCCTTGCTGTTCCCAGCACTGCACATTTCTGGACTGAGATGTCCGATGTTGTTCCCGGGATCTG